TATGCATAGGCAAATACTCCTTAACTTATTGTGACAAAAGATTGTTGCACCTTCAATATGTAGTGTTGCACTATGCTGATTACTGGTCTTTGGGCACCCTGTTTCTCTTTGTTTCAGATTACATTGTCACAGTTTGGAAGCCTAATCCGACTAGAGCATGGATCACAGCTATCTGTTCATATGACAGTGTAGTGAAACCTAAATTAAAATACAGCTTGGGGCATTTCTCCCTTAGAGAACAAAAGGAAGGAGGACTGTACAGATGTCTCTTCTGCCAAGACGTTCACCTGGAATAAGGTGCTGAACCGAGTCACTCTGAATATAAAGTTTCCTCCGAAAGTGGCTCTAACTTGTTTTTCAGTCATATATCTGAAGTCGAGCTTTGTATTCACAGCCTGCAGCAGAATATCCTGTAAGGGTTGGTTTTGCAACAGAGTAAAAGAAGCCCTTTACTTTCCACTTAGAGTGTAACCAACAGATTCTAAACTTCACTTTAGGAAGCAGGAAGGTTAGTACTCTGAGAGCAGAGCCCAATAGCCTTCAGCAGATGCCTGATAGAACCAGAGGGCTCAACACTAGCCTCATGTAGATACTGACATGGCCTACTACTTTAACTGTATTTATGCACACTATATGCAACTTCAGTCTGTTAACTCATAAAGTTTACCCAATGTTTATATGGACATATACATGGATTTAAAAAATTCTAAAAATGTCTAAAACCAAAACCAGGCCTAAGTCACTGGACACACAGCTAATGCACAGATGATGATGATGAAGTGCCAAAATTTGCTTTTGCACATTTGGATACCCAAAATGAGCAAAAATATCTTTTAAATACTTAATGGCATGAAAATTGATACAGCTGATAATTAGACTTTGCAAAAAATATAGACAAAGCTGATCTCAAAACAAGTTAAGATTTTTTATTTTGTTTTGACCATAACAATCAACTGTTGAAGTATTTGCAGTTGTAACGTGGCAGGGTGACTGGATGCCTGGATTTCATGGTGTTTGCCAAATGTCTTGATTGAAACAGCAAACACATCAAAAAACCTAAGGAGGTGTAGAATAGCGTTGCAGCCTGGGTGACAAGCAAGCAGATCCTGTCAAGCTCAACAGATACGGTCAGCTCCCCCCCAAGAAATGCTGTGGCAAATCCTCCCAGCCACTAGCAGAGGCTTCTTCACAGCCAGCTTTTCCACCATGACTATGAATATGATCAAGACTAACAGTGCAAACTAGCTTAGATATTAGATATATATATATATTAGATCTGGTAATCTAATGAAAGCCAGCTCAATTCACTTGGTAATCTAATGAAAGTAGGCTCAGTTCACATGAGCATCTGCTTTGATACTTACTCAGCATAGCATTTAAATACTTGTTCAACTTTAAATACACATATCCAATTGATTTTTTTACCAGGAAATTTAAAAATACTTCCAAGTGCTGTTCAAAGTATTACTGGAGTTAAATACACACATAAAGGCTAGTCATGTAGTGAAACACTGTGATGAATCAGCACAGAACCATTATATATGTTTTATACTTCAGAGTCTGCTTCACATCAAAATCCTTAAGTTTATTTCCACCTGTTTTTCTAACACTGATCACTTTTTCCACACAAATGGCAGTATTTCCAAATTGTCACTGATAATGAAAAAACTCAACCCTGATTTCAGAATTCAATGAGATTTACAAAGTGAAAGACGTAAGGACAGGGGAAAATGAAAGCCAAAATTAATAACTTGTGCTTTTAAATTTCTCATTTGAGGCCACCTTATAAAGTTGAACATGTGAAAGTTTACATGTAAGCAACTGTGACACATTTGCAGGTGAATGTGAGGACACATTTGATCATGTATTTAAACAAATTGTCAACAATTTGTTTGCAAAGGTTCCGAGAGAAAAATTCAGATTCTGTTAAAATTACTTTTGATATGAATTTGACAAGATGTGAAGAGCTCATAAGGGTGTCCTCTGCATCAGAGGACATTTTAACACTGAACAAATCAATGCCATCAAAAGAGGCACAACTACCTACCGTGCATCCTGTCATACAAGTGTAGCAGTTATATTCGTATGACTTATTACCACAGGGGAAAAAACAAGTTATTTCAGTGTAAAATTCTTCTAATAAATAATATACTATACTGGTAAAACTCATACCACAAGTCAGTGTAGAGCAGGGAATGTACAAATATCTCTTTGTAAAGTCTTCTCACTAATATGAATTCTTATCAAGAGCATATTGAAATGCATATCAATATTTTTACATGGTAATATATTTTAAAATGTCACCTATTACTGAAACCTTGTCTACATGTCAACTTAAGGAATGGCCATGTAAGAATAAGTTTCCCGAATAAGGGCATACCTCTAACTGTAAAGCTAACAAAGCCTTCCCAATAACAACAGTAGTAGGCACCACTGACAGTATTATTTAAATATATAACTCTTTCATTAATACAGAATCATAAAGGTTGAAAAAGGTTAAGCAAGCAAATAGTTACTATCAGGGTGACTACATTTACTAACATTAACTCATTAAGTGTCTCAATGAATTGTTCACAATAGGCAAGTATCTGCAAAGCACCATAAAATTATGAATGATATGTTGTATTTACTTCTCATAGTGTGCTGACCTGCAATACAGAAAACACTTTTACTTTTTGGATATATATTAGCTAATAAGCGAAAGAACACTTAAAACCAGGTTTCCTTCATGCCCAAAACTTTTCTAGGAAATTTACTTTTTCCTGTTTTTCTCAGCAAGAGTAATAATAAATCACCACCATCCTTTCAAATTCAGTATTATAAAATTATGTGTGTAAAACATAAAAATTATCTAAAGCATTGGGGCTGGCTGCTTTTGACTTTGACTGAATGGATAAAAAGATCCAGTGTGACAGCAAGGCAGAAAACTAGGAAAGCAGAGGGAGAGCAACAACAAAACCCCAGTTTGACTGAAATCAGAGTGCTGCCATTAGAACAAAAAAACCTCTTTCCATAGTCCCCAAGAGACTTGCACGAAGAGTAGGTTTTGGTTCAAAGTACTTTTATATTCAGGAATGCCATTTAAAAGGTAAAGTCTAGGACACTACAGTTGAAAATAAATTCTGTGCAGAACTAATTCACTGTCATAATTTTCTTGTGTTGCACTTATTTAAGAAGAAAAAAGTCACATCCAATTTTGAAACCCATATATCTTACCACTTTTGCCCGACTAAATAATGTACTTATTTTCTTAGTTGGTTTAAATTCCCCACATACAAAAGTTCTGAATAAAAGTGTTCCTGTGAATGCACTCACACTGAAGTACAAGCCTTCGCTATCATAAACCTGCCTATCTTCTGGGAGCACTTACAACTACGTTTGTATTTCATAATGAAGAATTAGTAAGCCTCCACCACACACATGGGCACACATGCCAAAACAAGAGTATCAGAACATTAATGGGAAATTAATGGCACGTTAGATGATGTACTGGCATTCGAAAGTGCTTGTTTGATACGTAGGCTGCACCAGAAAATGCATTTAAGATCAACAGCAACAAATACTGAAAGAATCAACTCAATTTTATTCACCCCCTCAGAAATGTGCAATTCAGATTTCTCATTTTATGTAAATGTGCCTTCAGGAACAGAAAGGGGGAAAATCTCTTTCCTGATTCTGTATCTAATTAAGGATAATCAAACATAACTTAGTGTGCCCTTACTGATAAGCAACAGGAAAAAAACCCAACCCATAACCCCATGTCAAAGAGGCATGTGAAAACCACGACCCCGTGTAAGGGAAGGTCTACTTGGGTATGGAAAGCAAGGATTTAGGAGTCAGATTATTTCATTTTAGAGATAACACGGCTGTCACTGAAACAACAAACATCCCTACTCATCTGAACAGACTCATCCACTCTCATATTTAGTTCCCCCTTTCTAATTGTGTAGGTTAATTAGTGCTAACCTATACTTACGGAAAAAGTAAGTTATCCTCCTGGAGTTTTAGGCCAAAGGCCAGACAAAGAACTAGCACAACAAAGAACTCTGACCTGACTTCGGATCTGGTTCTTGAGAGAGTAAGCCAGAAGTACTGCGACTCTTTTGCATGGTAATATCCCCAAATTTGAGGACCATCATTGGACTTCTGGTACTAAGAATATTGACCCCACTAGTGCCAGATACTTGATGAAAGCTTTAAGGTTCAAAATATGACAAAATTTTTCTCCTTGTTCATTTGTAGGTTATTAATCAACAAGCTGAATTATCTGGTAGTATTTTGTGTCAGTTTTAAAGCTAAAAGAAAAAACCCATGTAGATAAACAGTTTGTGTTTACTTAAAAAAATTATATGAAAATACAGAATATAAGGAATTAAAATGTAGCCCTTTAACAGTAGTACTCTAGCAGGGACCACCGTCACAATAAATGGTCTGGAATAGATATAACCACTGAATTATTCCCTTGACACACTGTCATAATTCAGTAAATCAGCTATTCTAAAGGATTTCTTTCTTTTATAACATCACTGACAAATGAGATGTGAACTTTGCATCTAAAATTCTAATTTGAAGAAACAGCTTTTCCTCAAATTCATATACTTCTTTGGATAAAGGGCAATCAATTATCAAGCACACAGAAACTGGTTATTATAGCAATTTCATGTTTGACCATGTTTGCACTAGGGCTCAAGGTAATTTCACTGCGTTATACAGAAAGCATCAAATAACTGTTGTATGCCTGAAGACTGAAAATAAGTATTTAAAATCATGTTTTGTAAAACACTTCTATGCTAGAACAAGTATTTCTGGTATTTAAGAGTAAAAACACACTTCCATTGAAATCCTGGTGCTTGCACGTTGGGTTCTGTGTCCTACATCTGCCTTCTCTAGCAGCAAAGCCCATCTGGCAGTGTTTTATTGGGTTTAGGTGCTTCAAAGTAAAAGAAACCTAAATTAGGGCCATGAAGCCCTAGAAAAGGTCAACCTTTAGGTGTTTTATATTTCGTTAATCGATTCAGAAGGGCTATGTGTAATTATACTCTTTATCAAAGAAACCTAACTATAATTTGGCATCAGTAAAGTTTACAGTTCTGTAATGTACTGTAATAGTTTGAGATACTTTAAGAAAACCCTCCAAATACTGAGATGCTTATTGCAATTCCCTTTTGAAGATCAAAAGCCTTCTAATGACTTTGCATTTCCTATTTTTATCTTCTTTATAGCATATAGTATTATATATTTGAAATATGCTTTTTACATAAAACCAAACTTGAAAATACCCACTTAGAAACAATATTTCAGTAAATAGAGGGTTTAAGGCAAGTCATTCATTTGGAAAAAATCCATTTCCATTTGTTAATCCTAGATTGACACAATTTTATTCCACCCCATCAGTGCCTTGGGATACAACGTACATTCAGCAAAGGGCACACATATGACCCTATGGACATACGTTGCAAGTCCTGAGTGCCCATTGAAATAATGGTAATATCTTCATATAAGGCGTGACCCACAGGGACATGGCATGGGAGGGGTTAATTTGTTTTGTTTCCAGTCTTGCTATTGTATGTGATTTTCCTAGGTAGGTAATGCATTCTTTTCTTACTAAACATCTTTGCAAACAAATACAAACCCCTTTAAAAGGTGCTAAAAATGGGTTTCTGAAAACATATAAAATATATTCATCATAGTATTTCCTCAATCACTGTTTCAATGCTTGATATCTGCAGGTTATTTCTTGCTTTTGACTGAAACTATTATTTGTTGTGGAATAACTGTTCTTTTGCAAAAGATTTTCTTCTTCTAGTTTTTTGGACCATATGGGCTGGACGCTTTCATGCCTTTTACTTCCTTTTTGAGTTCTTTTCAGTGGAAATACCAACAACACCAGGATGCTGGCAATATGAAGACAGAAATAGCAGGAGCTAAAACACAAACAAAAATAACAATTCAGTAAAACCTGAACTGCTCTCACAGGATGTTTAAGGAATACACTGTCAAAACCTACTTGCATTATTTGCATGTAAAACAGGAAGACATTAATATTTCCTTTAAAAAAAGTAATAAAGGGGAAATCGGAAATTAAGTCTTCCCTCGTAGTACTTGGTGCTGTAGCAGAGATTTGAAGTGAATACAAGTCTGCTTTCAACTTTTTTTTTTTTACAAGTTACTTTTGGGAAGTCATTATCTCGTATTGCTCTAAAACTATTCCAGCGCACACAATAATCCCAGGGGTACTCTCTGGTTTTCTTCTTGCCTGTTGTTTCCCCTCCCCACTCCCACCCAGCCCCAGGAAACGGAAGTCCATTATAACAGGAAAACGAGAGTGCCTTCTGCTTTCTTAGTACACAAACTATGTTTGACCACTAGAACAGAAATACAGCTTGCTCAGCTAACAGATCAATCATATTTATCACTAAAAAAGCTTCCGAAATCTGATGCCATAGAAAATACAAAGAAAAAGGAAACAGGTAGAATGTGCTTACCTGTAAAAGGTGATAGAAGGTTTTACAGAGAGCAGTACAAACGGCACAACTGTGTAACTTATTGCTACTTGAGTTGCCATCCACGTTACAATATCATAACATAGTTTAACAGCAGGAGAGTCAACAAAATAATGTCTGATATTGTTTCTTATCTGAAAAAGCAGATAATAGTAAATTAGCTTAGTAATAACTTGGAGAGCTATATTACTGTACAGAGTTTGCTGCACTTCTACAAAATTCATAGAATGAATTTAAATGCTACAGCTTGGTCAGTCATCTCTGAACTCCCCAAAATGCCCATCAACTTTAACAGGAGCCAGTTCAGATTCCCTGCCTTTTAGAATACCATGCTGCATCCAGCACAGGAATGTAAGTATTTATGAATTTAAGCAGAATTTAAAGTTAATGCCCCCTAAATCCAATGCTACTTTGGACTGCTTGTCTGAATGTGGCAGACATTGTATCTCATAAAGCCATTCTGTAAATAGTGTTGGAGTAAGTGAAAGCCAGAGTGCTTCTGTTGAAAATTTGTATATGATAAGCCTTTTTCACATACTTGCGAATAAGACATATTTTAGGATGAGTACGGTATAAATCAGAATATACAAAATATCAGGTCTAGTGACATTTCAGGAGTCTTGATAACAACCAGTATCAAGGGCACTATTATAAAATCACTCAGTTTTCTATGCTGAGTCTTTTGCTCATAAAATTCTGTGCAAACAGTGGAATACCAAAAGTATTAAAAAGATCCCAAACCCACACAGGTTTGGGTTCAGTTTTATTTAAGTCTGCAATGAAAAAGACACTAGTAGATACTCATCCCTCCTTCCTTCAACTGAACTGTCATCCTTGCTCACTCCTATTTTCTGACACTCTTATTTGAGCTTCTGTGCTGCTTTCACCTTCCAGTCACCTGCATTCTGATGAGTTGCACACCTAAGTATACAGTTTAGCGTCTCCAGTCTTCAGTTTCTTTAAAACTCCTTGTTCAGAAGAACATATCCAAGGCTAGCTCCTGCTGATTTCATTCTTTACATTAAAAACCTTTTTTATCCTTCTTGTCCTTCTTACCCAAATTCACCTGTAGAAGCAATTCTAGCCACATTCCCTTCATCCTGCCATCTCCCCGCAGTTTTCTCCTATTGTCACATGCAATGACACATTGAAATGTGAAGTACCACTTTCCCCTAGCTATTACAGCAACGAAGAACAGCCTGCTTCATTTCTTATTCTCCTAGTTCTTTTAACAGAAAAGTGGTCTGTTATGCTGCTCTGAGCTGATGTGATTTGTTTATTACTCTTTCCCAATGAGAAACTGATAAACCTGCCTCTGCTCTTAGCAGCTTTCTCAGGCAGAACTGTGAGAGATTTCTTAGAAGTTTTGCTAGTTCCATACAGTTCTGAATAAGGGCTTCAAAAGCTTATTAATATGACTGCACTGCTGGCTGGCCAGTTTTGAATAGTAACTGCATGAGAGATTTTTATCTGCTGGTGGAGGGGAAGCATTCTTTAGTTATCATCTTTACAAGGTACTGGATGCAATTAGGGAGGGAATGGACTTCGTTGACGTACAGCACTGGCTCCCAAATTTTAAATTACTTATCAGTGATTTTTTTTCTCCATAATCAGAATTTTTTTTCAAAATGATCTTTGATAATGTGATTCTTTTCAGCGTGGCATAACAACACATGGTCAGTTAATCCAGAGGAAGAGCTTCCACAAAAGATATGATACAAAGACTTATAGGCTGTATACAGTCTTGCTTGTTTCCACTGATCAATCCCTTCCCATAATTAGTCATCGTCACTGCTCCCATAATTAGTCATCGTCACTGCTCTCATATCAAACAAAAGCAAACTCCACTACCAAACAGAGTGTATATCAACTGTAAAGTGTGTTATTGGACTACAGAACATGATCAATTTCCTTTTACAAAACTTACTATTATTTAAGTAGATACTTGGTTGGTACTTACAGCTCGTGCTGCTAGCGTCATTAGTACTCCTGTTAAGAATGTTAAGTAATATCCTGGGTAAACCCCATGCCAAATGGCAGAAAGGATGAAGGTCTGGATCGTTGGGCTGAAGGCAGCGCGCTCGTAGCACACTCTGGGAAGTCAAAGACAATTCAAGACAAATAACATAAGACAAACCACCAACAGTCTTCCCAGTTATCAATTATACATTTGTACTTTTGGTAATTTCTTCTCCAACACAACATTTACAATGTGACTGCAGTTTACCTTTATATACCAATGTTGCCACTATATTACGACTTAGAGAAAATACTTAAAGCTATTCGTAGCTCCCAATTTAACCCCTCAGTGCTAACCTATTCCCAGTGCCATCACATACAGTACTTATTTATAATGAAGTGATACATAAGCATCCAAAAACAGGTGACAGTGTTAATAAGGGATCTTGGGCCATCCAAGAACATGTTGGAAAAGCTGCGCTGTAAGGCAGAGAGCACTCCACAAATTTCTGTGATGAGTCAGAGGTATATTTTCATAAAATGAAAGAATTTTATAGGAGAAGGGGAAAATAACAACTACCTTAATTTTGTGTAACAGAGAGGCTACAGTGGGTAATGTATCTGTGTATGGCAATTAGGTGAGCACGACGCTGAAACTGTAATTAGTGACTCTAAGGATGTGAGAATATCAAATAAGGAGAATGCTGAACTCTGCTATTTAAAATTTGAGACTCTGTTATTAGGCAAGGTCCTACAGTACGGAATCCTAGAAGGAAAAGCAGAAAAAGGAATCCAACACAGGTAGCTCCTAGAAGACATTAAATGACACAATGACAAACCATCATGATGTGGAAGAATGATAGGAAACATGGTAAGGTCCTGATATGGATGGCTTCATCAAGATTTCTTTAATTTCTTTAATGATCTGAAAACCAAAAAGCAATAGGAAATATGGAAACAGATACACACTAACATGAAGCAAAAATAAACAGCACAAGCATGCATGAACACAAATCTAAAGCTAACGCACAAAAATGAGTTTTAACTGAAATGGCCATAGACACAAATATGTAAAAGGTTTTTATAAGCACACAGCAAGTAACAGAGGAAAAGAATGTATGGCTATTATTCAAAGACGACAAGCTAATAGAAGATGATACATAGGGACAGAACATTCACTGCTAATGTAATTACTTCACTACGACTTCCACATACACAAGAGATTGCCAACCCAAAGGATACAGTTAATGTTAAAGAGGAGAAGATAAAAAGCGAGGATCTGAATAGGGCAATATCAAAAGTGTACTTTGCTGATTTAGTATATTCCAGTCAAGTACTCTGATAAGTTTTATTCTATAAGGTCTTCAGTGCAGGGTACCAGCTCAACCCTCCTCTCCCTGTTAAGGGGCTTCACGAACAATGGCCATTAAGACGAGAGCATGGGGTTAAGCAAGGTGCAGGTGCATACATGTGTAATAGACAAAGCTATCTGAGGACATTTGCCCAAAACAGACCAACTCAGACATGAAAGTAACATGAGCCAGACTAAACAGTAACCAGGGAATTTGAAAGAGACTTTTGACACAAAGAATCCCTCGGCCTAGAAAGTACAAAAGCATTAGGAAAATTTGTAACAAGTCAGGGAGACACCGGGGAGCAAAACACTAGTCATGAAAACTTGGTCTGACACTGATAGCAGTTGCCCCACCACCATCATGACCTCTGTCTTGGTCAATGCAGAGCATCCTCCCTGGTAGATACCAAGTGGACTAGATCCAGCCAGGGGCCCATCACTGCAGTTTGCAGTACACAGAGAGCAATGTCTCATCCCTATCAGCTGTGTACATGTGAATTTGTGGTATGCTTGTCTAATAGGCACATGAATCCAACGTTCAAATGGAGCTGGAGAACTTGCATCTTGCACAGGCAGTGCACACAAGCAGGGGCCCACAATTCCAGAAGGAGGGATGGTTTTGTATCTCGTATGTCCTTGGAATTGGAGGCGCAGTTTGCATATACTTGTGTGTGTACAAATGCACTTTTTAAACTCCTTGGGATTAGTTACAGAGGAGTGTTAAGAAATGTTTATTGAACCAGAACACTGAACACATACATTGTTATGTGTTGTAGTACTGGTATTAACTCTGCATGTATATTTCACTGACTGGTGGCTAATTGTCTCATTAAAAGCATTGATAAATGGCTTCAACCTTTTTTTATTTAACTACTTTATGCAAATTGTCCCCTACAAAGAATTCAGGAGTTTAACTAGCTAAATTCAGATAAGATATACTCTAGGCTTCAATTTCAAAGACTAAAAAGTAAGCCTAAACATCTCCATGAATTAGTAACAAGTAGCACTGAAATGCTTCACTTGACATTCCTAAAAGCAAACCAAGGAAACAATGGTCATCACAACAGGCTGAGAAAATCTATTCAAATACAGGTGACTCAGGTGAACATATCCATAATTTGCTCCAGAAGTGGAAAGAGCATCAACTGTTCAGGAAGGTACTGCCTTTGGTCTGGTTCTATTCTGTTATTACTAGCTTGGGTAGACTGATTAGTATATGTTTCCAGTTCATCTTCCCTTCCTTTTTTGGGGTGGAAGGTAGTTTGGACAAGACTGATATTGTTTTCTTAGCAGACAGAGCACTAGAATCCAAAATTATCTTGATAAAGTCCAAAGTATAGACCATCTAACAAGAAAACTAGAAGATATAAACGAGTACCCATTCCTAAAGAATGTAGCCAAATATGAATCAACAGCATGAAACATTAAGTATCAGCTCAACAGTATGCTGCTGCTGCAAAAAAAAGATATAATACTGTAATGTATTCGAGTATTATCTAAAGACAATACAGGTAATGAATCCACTTAGATCATTCAACTCTGCCAGTAACAAGCCAGGGAAAGACCTCAGAAGTTGTAGCAGAAGTATTACATCCACTGTAAGAAGACAGGAAGTTTGGACAGATGCCAGAAGAGAGCAACAGAAACCACAAAGGTTTTGCAAATATGACCAAAGACAAATGGAATTAGGCATTTTCTTTAGACAAAAAGAATGAACTCCTTCAGCACTGAAGTTTCATTTAGAATCATTTCATTTAGGAGATTCAAAAGTTTTTTGAAACACAACCTTTTCCTATTGAGTTTTAACACTGATAAACTTCTGTTCTCTAGCTAAAATAAAACGCATTTTAAAATACCTAATAGCTTACTTGATTTATTAAATGATCCATTTCAATACCTGAAAGCATGCAGCTCTTCCTTGCTGGCTGTCCCAGCAACAGATTCTATTGCCTATTGAGTCAAATAGAATAATCACATAAAATTCAGCTTCTGTTTTCACTTGGATTAGAAAAATATTTAGGAAAGAAATTACGGAAGAAAACGGAACACGGGATACACTAGAATGTTTCTTCCACCAGATTTCTTTCTGTTGCCAGTCATCCTAGAGAAAACATAAAGTCTTCCGAGTGATCTCAAGACAGAGGTCTTAGTTAAACTTGTGCCTATTGATAAAAGATCAACTGAACAGAGACTTGGAGAAGGGAAACCACACCTGTGTGCTATTCAAGAACACTTTTTTGCTTTTTATTTACCACAAAGTAGTAGTAAAAAGCAGAATGATGTAGTTCACTGGTACTCACTGTATCTGTTTCCCAGACAAGGAAAAAAGTGCCTCTGAGGGATATTAATTTGCAGTTTTTGTTGACAGCACATTGTAGGGTTTAATATTTGCTATGCACTCACTATGGAAGGTTGTCTCACAGAATGTATGGAAGTTCCTATATCACTGTGTGGCTAAAATATTGCCGCTTCCAGAGGCTAAAAATGTACATTTTGCCTGCTGCTTGCAGCGACATGCACTGCTTTCAATGCTAAGAGACAGCAAAACAGGAGTTGTCTCCACAGATTAGTTGTTTCAGATTCCCTTTGGCTAGTGAAGAAAAACAGTTTTATCACAGCCTGATAGAAACTTACTCTAAAAGAGAAGCCCTAAATTCAGAAGCTTTAATTCAAGTATTACAGGAAGAATGTCCCATGCAGTTGCTAAACAACCGATGTTTTGTAAAGTTTAGCTTTAAATGTTATATTATCTTCAAAGAAATATTTATCTAAGAAACTGCAGTGAAGAAAAGCTTTCTTTTAACAAATACCTTTTAAGCCAAAGAGCTGTTTGGATATTCCAGTTATCAAGAAACATCTTGAAACTTGTGGAAAACTGTAAAATAAAAACAAATTATTTCTGTGATTGTAAAGTTACAAATATTCTGATGTATAAATTATAAAAAAATCCCGAATCCGATGAGTTGAATAAAGTACTCACTCAACTACTCAAAACCACAAAGTATTTTGGAAGTCAACTGACAAGCAGCATACATTCAAAACAGACTATTTTTGATCCTTTCCTAAGGGTGTGAACACGTCATTTCTGACTTAGAACATACTCACTTACCCTGAGGAACAAAACGCGTAGGAAAAGTTACTGAAATTACAAGGAACTACCTACACGGGCACATATTTCATGTGAAAGAGCCAGAAACAAACCTCTATTTGCTGGATTCTCAGATTTGATATTAGATCCCAGCGTGTCACTCCATTTTTATCATAGCCTCTAAAACCAAACCCTGCTGCATTATTAATTGCATCTGCTGCAATGAAACAAAAAGAAACAGATTAATTATAAACTGCCTGTGGTACAAATCATGCATCCTACATGTAGTTTCTTCAAAATATGTATCACATTTTAAAGGCTATTTTTTTTAAAAACTGAGACCACTGTATCAGAAAAGAATCCAAGGAACACACTGGCTTTCAATTAAAAAAATTAAGAATGGAAGGTAGCCCTATGCACTTCATAGAGCAGATGTCCCTTCTCTCTCATACCACTTACTTAGACTTACTTGATCAGCTACACAGAAAAAATGACATGCATCAAGACGATGAAACACTGTCTGTTGTAACGATTTGAGACAGCAGATCAACACTCAGATGTGTGTCCTTGGTCATCACTACACAGCCACATTCTGTTAGCTCAGAAATTATGAAAAGCACTGCAATTCGATTGTCACACCTTTTAAATTACAACCAGCAAGGAAAGAGAAATCACTCAGTTTGTATTACCATATTAAAAGAACTTACTTTATACAATAGTGACTTGTAAGAAATCTGGGGGGTTATTTTCCATTTTCCTTTCTTCTCAACAACTCTCCCAAGGTATTAATCCAGTGTATTCGGAAAGTGAAAGAAACAATTGACTCAAACAGTCAGACAGTTCCTTTCCTGAAGTTCCGTTTCTCCAGTTACCTACTAGTCTGGAGGAGGTCTTTGTGACATTTGATATATTAGAGGGTAATTTATAATATTGTTATTTCCTCATCAAAACCAATTTTAAAACCCACCTTTGAAAGCAACAAAACTTGCTGCTATGCATCTGATATCACTGATGTTGACTCAAATACTAAACAATAGGTTTTATGCTCAATTAGAAACAGCTGAACACATGAACTTCACAATCTCTTGCTAGCTAGAGCCAAGACTACAACTAGAGTAAGTACTCATTTCATTAACCAGCATTTTAGTAAGTATTCATTTTAAGTAATTAGTTTCATTAACAGATTTTTTTCTTCAGTGTAAAGAACAGTAATGTGCAACTCCAAAGCATAACATCCAGCAGAACTGTTATGGCCCCTCACATTCTACTCATACCATTAGAAGTTTAGATGAGGTGAAGTGGAAGGAAGAAGGAAAAAAAAAAGCGCTGTTTAGCAAACTAACAGTACAGAGTTGATATAATTTATTTTTTTAAATATTTTACAAAAGGAATGCTAGCTCTACACTGCTAGTAAGTGCATAAGGAGAAATTCATCTGAAGTGTTATAGGGGAAAAAAAACCAAAGATTATTCATTTTTCAGATGACTCCTACACTTTACAGATGATGCTACTGGTGCATAAGAGCCCAATATGCAAAATTATTTCATTCCACAACAAGCCCCAGAACTACTATATCCAGACAAGCTGAAAGCACTTCATTCATTGACCAGGAATGAAACCAGCAGCTGTAAATGAGTCATGCTGCTCTGCTACACTAAAGCTTGCTTTATTGTATTGTTTCCCACAGATTCTCTCTCAAAAGAGTTATGAAACAAATATGTAAAACTGGAGAGGAGGAGGAAGCTGATGAAATCTGGTTTGTGAGCCACTTTCAAGATGTCAGTTTATAAAAATACAGTATTTTGCTGTTGTATGTGTTGAGGTTTTATTTTTCAAGTAACATGATCTGAAAATCAAAACATTCTTTAAACTGTACCATCTATTCAGTCTTAAATCAGTGACTATGGGTGTTATCCTGTCGGTCATTCGATCTTTTAATGAACAATGACTAAAACTGAAATATCAACCATCAAATTCAGAAAATACTACCAGAAATGCCATCTACTATTAACAACACTGTAATACATCTGAATTTCAATATATTCTGTTTTCCTTCATGCCTGAGAAACATCAAGCAAATTACTGATAACCACAGAAAAAGGCTTAGAATAACCTTTCAGATAAGCCAAAATGAAGGTATAAAAACCCAAACCGAAATGAACCAAACCAGGGCCTGTACCTCAGAACAGACTGACAACCTTTTTAAAAATCAAACAAAAAAAATCATTGCTCATTATAAAATTATTAATCTTCAAAAAAAAAAACAACAACAAAAAAACCAAACCAAAAACCACCAAAACCAACCACCCTTATGTTTCACTCTGATTTCTTCAGGAGACCATGATCCCATTTGCAACACTGTCACAACACTGTGCTTAGATTTATGGCAAGTTTTGTTTCTCACAAAGAGACACCATTCAATATACTTTGACAATACTTCATAGTATTTATAGGTTCTCACGTCCTCCTAAGGCCTCAAGAGGGCACTGTCACTTTTTAATACACACTTAGTGTGCAGCATCTCAAATGAAACTCAATACATACACTTTATTTTTTTAATATATACACACTTACCTAAAGTCCATGCAAAATAATACTTGGGTCTGGCAGCCATAAGAGACACGTACAGGTAGAAAAACCTTACAGGCCATGAAGCTGTAGCTCTGAAGTTGTCATCAATGTTGTATTCCACAGGCAAAGTTTCTGTAATTGTCATGTGGAAGAGTAAGGACAGTCCACAGATTAAGAGCTTCTGTGCCACAGCTATCTGAAAAGTTTAAGATGTGAGAGTCTGTAAGCTTCCTTTTTGTTAATCTTCCAGAAACAAAGGCAGATTATAATCCTCCTTCCCTAAACAGATGTATATACATGTTAGTTTTTCAGCAATGTACACTACCAACTTTAAAATAGTTGATAATATTTTATAGAGGCTCAAGGAGTAGTTATCTGGAGTCAGGAGCGCTACTTATGGTAAACAACACAGCAAATCCAACCTCACTGCAGTGAGCCTCTATAAACCCTGTCAATACTAGGAACACTCTTTGCAACTCCAGTTTTTGGGTTTTTTTTTCATTGCCAAATTGCTAAAGCAAGTAAGTTTTTAAGACATCACAACACAAACTACATAATCTAGGACAAGAGGAGTACAATTATTGCAGAGACTCCCAAAACAATGGCAAAGCTACAGTTCATTTTTGGTAGTCTTTGGCATAATGCAGTGTTCAGTTCCTGCCAAACCCAGTGTATCAATCATCTCTATTAGATTATTACAATATATGAATTCTAAACCAACTAAAACACTGAAAGAGTTTATGACTTTTCAGCCAAAACACCTCAGTTCTATACAGACCTGTTTTCCCAACTAGAGTGTTTAAGCTATAAGGAGTCAAATAATATGCTTGCAGACATGTAAAAAATACATTGTTTAGGCAGGACCCAGACTCAGATTTTCTCAAAATACCATTTTACTATAACCACCACACTAAAGAATATAGTCTTTAGGAAAACATTTGTAAGGTTCTATTATAATAACGCTGAGAGCAATAATGCACGGCATTGACTGCTTTTGATCACTAGTCTGATCAACATCCCAAGGGCAGATACCATGTTTCGTGCAAGCCCCTAAAGTAGCACACTAACCGAGCAGCTAGAAAAGAGCAGCTTGAGAGCTAGTTCATTTAAATGTCATTTTCAAGTTTTGACTGTAAGTGGTATCAATATTTAAACATTACAGTTTTCATTTACATTTCAATTTTACACACACTGAACTTGTCAAGAAAACAATCTATTTGTCTTTGAAGCATCAGAACAAAAAGATAAGAATCCTTTTTCTGTCCCTCCTGCTTCCAGTATACTTGCCCGAACTTTAAAAGGTAACATCCTGCTTCAATTAGAGTTCAGCTTCACATGTTTAATTTCACAAAAACGTGATTTCACGATTCCGTGATACAGAATGGAGCATTAAGTGCCCAACTGAAAACACAGGTTTCTGCAAGACCCAGTCATGAGATGTAAGCAGTGATGCAACCTGGTAAAAAATCAGACTTGGAAAAGCTGTAAAACAGTGAGGGATGCAACTGTGGATATTGCATAGATCTCACGTGCCTCATTCTCAGATGGTATTTCAGAGAGGATCAGAAAACCCAGCTAATTAAACAAACCAGCTGGTTAATTCAAGGGATAAGTGCCTATTGAGAGCTAAAACTGGTGTTTGATTATTTTTTTCCTACTTGCTTTCTAATAAACTTGATTTCACTATTTTACTCTGTTACAAGACCTCAAAGTTAAGGGCACTGACTTTCTGCCCTGGTTTTGGCTGGGATAGAGTTAATTTTCTTCCTAGTAGCTGGTACAGGCCTGTGTTTTGGATTTAGTCTGAGAATAATGCCGATAACACAGTGATGTTTTAGTTGCTGTGAATCTTTAACTTTGGTATGCAATATCTGATACATACAAAAGTTAGATATTTATAAATACTGAAAGGCATCTCCCCAAAGCTATGTAGACAGTTGTAAGAATTTAACTTCAAAGTCTAAGCCATAATTAAAAGTCATGTTTAATTTAGCATGAGAAACAGTATTTATAGGCTGCTAACATTAATACATAACTTAAAACATAACCATAGAAAATAGATGTTTTCTATCTGAAGATCTCTACAAAGTCTCAGAATAAGTTTTGTCAAATTATAGGTAAAGTTTTCTCTGTTTAAAGGCCTGCTTTTGCCACTGCCACTATTTATCAGTTTTTCTGCTGGTAAACAGAAATCACTGATCTGCATATTCAACCCAAAATATGCTTAGTAGCTGTTATAAGATTTTTACTAAAACTGTGGAGGTGAAAGCCCTTCTTTTACAGGGAAGCATCAGTTTCAACAAAACTCATATTCATAAAAAATAAACTGATGCAGGGTTCTGCCATAAACTGTACGTTTAACAAAATTATCTCAGCAGCTTTTAGTTTGTACTTACAAGAAAAAATACTGAGAAACGAGGTTTTTTTATTTCATTTGTTTAGTATTTAAATGTTATATTTCTGCAACTTAGCACCAACATTTCAGTGCAGGGACAAGCACTACTTTAATCATAATTATAAATCTCAGCCCCTCAGTCAAGCTGATACCACTTACAGTGATCAGTATCAGGTATATCAGCGTCCTTAGTAAACAGTGATGGAGATCTGCCTCTACAAAGACTGTGAGATGCAGTCCCTGTCTCTCACCTTCAGTACAAGATTTTTTGCCTTTTCCTTCTAGTGAGTCAGATTAGAGAAACAAGTCAGGTGGAAAACCAGAGTTTGAGCTTGGGTTTTAGTTTTTGTTTCATTTCGTGGTTGTTGGTTTTTTTTTTTTTTGTGGCAGGTGTTTTGCTGTCTGGTTTTGTTGTTGTGGGGGTTTTGCTTTTTGTTTTCTTTTGTTGTTGTTTTTTTTAAATGACAACTTTGTTTAAGGCTGGATCAAACTATCTGAATCAGACCGCAGTGCAAAGCATGTTAGCACTGCCAGGATAAGCAAAGGTCCTTACCTTGCATGGACCCTACTTCAAGGACATAGCATATTCAGCAAGAGTTTACACTTTGGTTGGCCTAAATAGTTCATTAAACTGTAGCCTTAGGCTTGTTTGTAGCACTCAAGTTTTTAACACATTTACATACAAATAAAAGCTCCCACCTGACAAAATAATCTATAGTTCAATCACCAATATAAACGCATTAGGTAAAATGTTAATTCACTTAATTAACTAGGGAAGTGATCTAAACTCCTCCGCTGTAAATGGGTAATCACCGGATCACACAAGAGGGTCGGTCAGTTTTTACAAGGATGAAATAACTAATTTAAAAGTTTAAACTTTAAATTTCTTTCAAATTTTCAAGCATTAAAATAACTGTTCCATTAAGGCATTAAAAGACTATCAGCTGTAGGATAACTTTGACCTCAAATGAAGTAGTACATACACCTTATTTTACAACAAGAAAAGTAGAAAGGCCTGGCTTGTTTGGTTTTGATGAACAAAAACTGGGCATAATCTATATTAAAAATACCAACTTATGATCAAGGCTGGGAAAGAAAATTGGTACTTAAGCTACAAGACAGTGCCACGACAAAACCAAATTAGACAGGAATATAATTAGGTTGAAGGCTAGATATCTAGTCAGAGAAAGGAGCTCAGGAACAGCTTTCTAACTGAAGCAATAAATGTGGGAGTCATTGAGCTCAGGGATTTTGTAAATATATTACTGTATAAACATCTATAATTGATTTAAATTATACAGAAAAGTAGAAAAGGATCTTAAAAGATTTTATTTGAATGAACTAGTTCTTGATTGATAAAGAATCAATAAGGAGCTCAATATAATATTGAACTATATTAAAGCATATTATTCTGGGGAGGTTAGCACCTCAGGTAAAAATTATAGGTAACCAAGGAAGAGCTTTATAACCTGTAGGAAGAACCTGCATAATAAGCAAGAAAGCAGATATCTGCTGACAGGAATCTTGTATTTTAAGGGTAGCCATAATAAAAAGAAACTTACAAAGACAGATATTAATTTCTGAGAGTTGACACCACTTTGAGCACCAACAATTGATAGCTTGCAAAAAGGCACAATAGGAGGGATATGAGAAATAAGTTTTAATACGCTGACTTGATTCATTTAACATGCAATGAACACAGCAATAATACTAAACCAAGTTAACATCATGCAGTCAACACACAGTATAGAGGAGGAGGCTGCCATGAACTACTTTGGTTATGTAATTGTATTTAACAAGAAATGAAACTTACTGTAAGTCAGCTGAAGGGCTAATTTTTTTCCATTTACTACTTTAACATTTGCTGATCCCCATTACATTCCGGTTGTTTTTTTTTTGAGTTCCTAACAATTTATTCTTCTTAAAATAACATGAGAATCAAGGAACAAATTTAAAGTATTAATATGAAGTTAATGGTATTTAAATATCCTTCTATAACAACACAAGTAATATTTTAATTGATGCAGCAAATGCAGTAAAATAATATTACCCATATTTCTCCAAAAGCACACAATACTCACTGGTGTTATAAAACACAGACAGATTTCTCTAACACCAGTGGGGAGATGAAATAACTGCACAGACGGCTTCTCTTTACATCAAAGCTAATGCAGCATAAATTGCAAAAAGTTTCAAGCATCTCAAGGGCAATTTATTTTAAGGAAAACCACTTACCTGAAAGAGGAATCCATCATAGGTTTACATTAACTTCTATTGACTTTGTTCAGACTACTAGCAAGATCATGTGGTAAAAAGCTAAGTTGTCCTATCGGGCAACCAGTAGATGCATGTCCAGAAGTACCGATACTGCCAGATTAGTTCCATTTATTTGCAGTAATTTTGCTACATATTTTTCTGCAGAAACAGCATTTTATGTACATAAGATGCGATGCCTCAACTGAGCCAAGCAATGGTTAAAAACAAAAAGATGTGTCTGCAACTTTGCCAAGACAACACGTCAAGGTAGACTGTAGACTATGAGGTGCCAACTTATACAGGGAATTCTTCTGTGTCTTTTGCGCTTCCCACCTACTTGCTCCACAGCATTTCTATGAGTTTAGGTGCTCTGTCACCATATGGAGCAGTTTAAAGGGTTATCATCCTCTAGCCACCAGTTTAGATCCATTTGGTCGAAGTTACTACAACTACAAAAGACAGTGAGAATGGAATGTGCAAAGAGTCCTCATCTACATTCAAAACAGATGACACAATCGATTGGAAGGCGCTCAGTGTTAGTCCAGCTGTGAGGATGGTAACCTCTAGATGGTCAGAATGCTAGTTGGTCATCCGTAAGTTAAGCAGAGAGCAGGAAACTGGTGCTGGAATAATGAAAGCCATTCATCTATCTGAAGATTTCCATGATAATTCTGCTTTTTAAGTGAGGTAATGATTATCTTAGGCAGACACAAATTTAAAAGTCTGATATACTCCTATTTAAGAGAACAGGAAAAGAACAAAAAGGTAGTATTTGGTACCCTAAAATTGAAGGGGTAATAAGGCCATACAACCTCTCCTGTAAGGTACGATCAACTGGACTTTTGTATGTATTTGGCCTCTTTTCCAGCAACAGAACAAAGAGAAAAAAGACATGTACGGATTACTAGCCACAGTGTTCTGGATATTCCATCTTTTACTACACCTTCAGATCAAAATCCATCTTTAACACTTCTCTCTACATGAATGAAAGCAAGAAAAATGAAACTCTTCTATGACTGTTTTTCACTTTGTTACATAGAGTGTTTTCTATTTGCTGCAAGAAGATATTAAAAAGAATTTATGAATGCTCATGGAAATTTACTGGAACTTTTAAGGCTCAGCTTTCAAATGACAAAATGTGCATTTCATCCTTACCAGGACTGTAACGGTACTGTCTGTACTGTTGTTACGGACAGTATATGCTTTGGAAGAAACATGCATGAACTGTTTTAATTTAAAGACAGCTTTTTACCACATAAGCTTGTTAGGAAGCTTCAGTTTAATCTGCTTTCATCCACAAGATCCAGACTGGAAACCATGGAGAAAACCTGCCTTAGAAAAGAGTAAGTATTTATGAGCAGGGAGCTATACTGTTGATGAATGAACTCCAGATACAGCTCAGAAGTTATGCCTGTAAACAAACAATGCAAACCAAGCTTTCCATGCAATGATTACGTAAGCATCAGCACTGCAAGAGTCATACATCTTACATTTGGGGAAGGATCCGTTTGTTCATATTTGGTATCTTCCTTCCCATTTGCTTCAGACTGTTGCAGTTGGTATGATCTGCCTTCAATGAAAGTAATATAGTCTTTGTAAGAGCATAACGGGCCTGCCAGGATACCCATGAAATTACAGTTGTAACTTAAATACTCCAGTAGACTTGGCATGCGTCTGTAATTCAAAGACAAGCAACTCGTGAGATGGAATGTGTAGTTCTACAGAATTTCCACAGCAGGAAAAGTCATACTCCATGTTATTGCTTACTCTGACTGCAGTAAAACCCACATGTAGAAAAGCAGTTTGTGTGTCTCTGGTAATCACAGCTTAAAACATTCTACACATACTATTTCTTTCCAATCTGTACTGAGCATTTTCAGACAGATCTCCTGAACGCTGGTGACTCTCCTCACACAGCAGAGATGTCTGAAGCTGAGCCTGGGGAAGGAGTAGGAAGGGTGTTTCCCTGCGTGTTTGTTCAACTCTAGGCTTCCTTGTTTTCCCTTCAGTAACTGAATTGGTAAACAAAGGTTTGCGTTAACTGGCAATAATTTCAATTAAGGAAAATGCCTCAAGTCAAGCCTGTTTTGCCCAGGACAATATGCTACTCTCAAGTCTCCTGAATGAAGAAAGGGGAAAATGTAAGTTAAATACTAAATACCAGAATTAAACAAGCATGTTCCTTCACCAACTACTTTAAATGTGTACTGAATGTTAACTACTCTCCTGCCTGATACGGCATTAACTTGCATATACTGCATAGAACTTAGTATGTTTTTCTTTACTAAGAATAAAAACTTGGCGATATTTTCCAGAACAGATGTATGAATTAAGCTACAAACGTAAAAAGCATGGATCCATTTTACATGGGTAAACTCTCTATCTTGAATGTAAACTAGCAATTCCACAGAGCATTAAGGCAGCACACAAAACACCAGCTTCTTTCCACCCCAAAACTAGAATCACAGAGATGCCTGAAAGCCTACCTTACAGCCAAGCACCTCTGAGATGGAGTCAAATCTTCATTTTTCCGAAACATTCCTAGGGAAAAGGACAGGGAAAAGGAAAAATAAAGAAAAGCTAAACCCCCACACATGAATTAACAGTTTCTTTACTCACTAGAGCAAGCCGCATGCTGCAATGTAATTTCTTAAGTCCTCAAGCAATTTCAGTGGTACTACATCATGTAAAATTTTTTGCTGGAATTGGAGCAAACAATTCTTACTGTTGACAAAATTATAAACTCTCGTATCCTCAGTTATACCCAACAGCACCTACACCTGAAATCACATGGATTTCAGGAAAGCATTAAGATGGCTTGTAGTAGATGCTGACAAATAATTCCTCTACATTGGTTAAGATTTCAAAGCCTGCAAATTTTAACCCCCCTTATTCCCAGTCATGGAAACTTGACTAGCCCCAAGCCTCTTTCAACACTGCAGTAACCCAGGGACATCTCACTGATGACTGACTCGAGGCACAGTATGAACACAGTCCAAGATAGATTTAAACAATTCAAAAGTTAAGGCAGACCTCAAGAGCACCTTCATGCTGCAGCTAAAGATTGCAAAGAAGGTCCAGTGAGAACATTAAAACATTCTCAAGTCTTTCACCAGCATCAAGGAGAAGCCCTCACCCCTGCTAGCAGAAACAGGCAGGCCAAGTCTAAATTCAGCAGCAAGACTGAATTTACCTTCTTGCCATAGGGACCACTTTCTGAAATGCTGGTGGTTACCCCTGAAAGACGGGCTTCAAAATCTGCACTCCCATTAAAAAAGTGAAAAAATATGACCTTCAGCACTTAAAATTAGTATTAACCACTAACTCAGGGGTAGAGACGAAGCAGAGCTCTTGCCTTCAAACAAGTCCTGGTTTATGCTGCCAGCACTGCTTGCCAAAGTGACTGACTGCTTCAGCTCCTTCTGCAGCCCCTCCACTGGTTCAGACATGAGCACACACGTCCATTCCCTGCCATTCACATTTGCAAGTTTCCTTTGCCATCACAAGCAATAAGAAATTTATTTTTATGAGCACAGTTTTCCCAAAGGAAAGTTATGGAATCCCATGTGAATTATCTTCCTCCCTAGCAGTGCCTAAACTCAACAAACAATTTCTAACCAAGTTTGATGAAAGAGCAGAGGTAATACAGATACAAAATCTCAATGTGTTTTATGAAAATAGGTGATTTGACAGAAGATCCTTCTCTAGTCACAGAAAACTTGCCTTCAGCCCCACCCCTTGATGCGAGTAAATCCAGAGGGGAACCCTTATATTTGAGAGAAAAGGACAATTTTAGGACATTAGGAGAATATTAACTGGAGTTAATTTTTTTTTTTTTATTTTTTAGGTATCAAAATCAGTCAAGCTTAAGACAAAAACAGACGGGGAGGGGGGTAGAGGGGAAGCCAAATCTCATTTATTTCTATGACTCATGGAAATACTTGTTAAATAAAAAAAGATAACACTGTTGTCTTCATATGACTCCATGAACAGTGACTTATACACACTTACAACTTTAAAACTGCACTTCTAATCTTAAAAAGTAGCTGAGAATATGGACAGGTTAGCAACTTGCCATCTCCTCTCCTGTAATATGACCTGGAAAAATACCTTCCTCAGTCCTGATCCTTCAGAGTGCAAAGTGACCCCTATTCACCTGCATTCAAGGCAAGAAATTAAAGGGCAAAGCGTCACCCCAAACTTCATGCAGGCAGCTTCTCTTCCTCATCATTACATTTCACATCATCTCCTTGTAGGAGCATTCTGAAAGGCCCTTTCACCTTCAAGGCTGCAAGGTTACAGTTCTCAGCAGCAGATCTTTGACAAAAAGACACAAAACCTCCTATAGATTAATGCAGATCACATGACATGACTCCTCTAGGGAAGTAGCCTGTACTCAGCCTCCAGTCTCACAGCATATACAATGTAAATTGACCCGAGCAGGAGCATCTTTCACGGTTATACTCCACATGAGTATTCACACCCTTTAGTCAGAAAGTGGATGCAGTCACTAAGTGTGTTCAAGTGAACTTGCACAAAGCCAGACTAACCACTGTATAAAGGTAATTAGACAAATAGAAGAGAGGTGAGGAAGAAAGAAGTGGCATATTTGAACTGGGTTCCAGTTATATACATACGTAATAAGTCACTAAGGGCTAAATAACCTGGTGAGCAATACAATTGTTGTCTCAAACATACCACAAAGAAGTAAGCCTCCACGAATTTTTCATTTCCCTATCTCACTAAGATCTCCCTCCAGCCAGCAATTTCTTTGAGGTCACTTCAGTGACTCCCTGAATTAGTTTGTTGCAGGCTTCTTTCATTTAAATGTCTTCTCAGCGGCTTGAAGGCCCATTTATCACCTCTGCGCAGCATGCAAGCACAAGGAAACGATTGATCTCTGCCTCTGTCATACTCTCAAAAGCTTTCAGGAAGCTACTGTTAAGATTTTTTAACACATAGGAAATACATATGGAAAAGGTGCTCCTATACTGACACTTATCTAATGAGAGATGAATTAATATATATCCATTCAATATTTCCCAGGCAGTGTATCTGCCCATGGGAACAGAGGCCTCATTACTCATAGCTCTTCCTTACCTACTTCACACTGGAGATGAAAAAAACCCACTTTAACAGTACACCACTGCTAGGGAACTCATGAAGTTTTGTAACCTTTCTCTGGGGATTATGACAATTGTTTTCTCCTGTCCTAAAACAGGACTACTACAATAACTGCAGCTTTTAGTTGCTACCAGCTCACAGTGGGGATTACAGAAAATGGCTTTTATCGAACATCTGTTAGAGAGGTGAAGTCATTTGGTCACTCAGGAACCATAACTTAGTTTTCTCATCTTTAAAGTAGGAGATACTCCTATGCTCTTTCTTTGGTAAAAGAACTTTGTAAATCATTGGTAGCAAAATTTATCCCCAGCTGTCTAGATCATGAAGAAGTTGCATCATTTCATTCCTCCTCAAGAGATCGTATCCCAAAGGTACACACCAATATCCTGCCTTGCAGACTTTATTAAGGCATATTATGACTACTATCATGCTCTCACTACAATAACACAACGTTTACAATCACATTACAGCACCACTCCAGCTTTGCTGTAAATCTGCTTGAATATATCCACCTTTGTATTTGCATGCAACCTGGCTAATCAGTTATTAATATTGTTTAGGTATAAGCCTGCATTACAATGATAATCTTAAACATGGAGATCATATCAGAGGCTCTTTTGTAATTCCAGTCAATTTTGAGGTTGTGAAATGGATCACCAGCTGAGCACAAATGCATGCCATTATTAAATAGTTTAAGACCTGAAGACAGGCAGACAATAATAGTTTTAACTGTTACTAGTACATCAGCAGGAATAGAAGCAAACAGATAAAGATGCCAGTTGAGTAAAAATGCAAAGAAACTACAAAAAGCATGAAAAATAAGAAGTCTTGATATCCAGAGAGCCATGCAAGCAAACACCGGTCCAGAACAACACTTGAAGAGCTCGAAGGGGAGAAATACAATACAATTCTCTAAAACACTAATGTACATGGCACTGCAATCAAAGTTATTTGGTAACAGATACTGAAACAATAATGACTATGCTGTCGCTAACACAAGAGGGAGCACCTAAGAAAAAGAAAATAGATCAAGAGACAAGTGGAGAGAGCATTAGAAGGCACTCCCAGACATAAGAAGAAATCAAGTTCCCAAAAATACAGATCCACACATCATGGCAGTTTCACCGACATAATTAACAGACAAATTAGAGAAAAACATTCTTGGTTAAACAGCTGCAACTTTCTTGTTATAATACCAGCATTTATAAAGTGGAGATGGGTCATGGCCACCTATCAAAAATCCATACGAGTATCTAGTCCTACATACATAATTGCCCACCTCTGTCTCAAGAGTTGTTCAGTTTTTCTCTTGCTCATACCTTCCCAAATACACTTTTTAAAAGATATAATAACAATAATAATAAAGCCTATTCAAAATCAGAAACGTGCATTAACAGTTTATGAGACATTTCCATAAAGATAACAATATTCTTAACTGACCACCTCTCACTACAACAAAGAATCCCCACTTAATCACAGAAGCTGACCAAAACACAGTATGTTCCTTTTTACCCCAGGCTCATGTTGTGACAGTCAGCAATTCAGCCTGGTAATCCTGTTTTGGTTTTGTAGGTATTTATTTAAAATAAATTTGGAATATCACATCTCATGTACCAAAATACATAAGCTGATCAGTGCTTCAGTACATCCACATTTCCAGCCTTTGAGCCAGAGCAGACCAATACTAAAGTTGTCTGCAAGCCTTTAGAGCGATGCAGTGTCTTTCTGCTGAATAAGGGAACTATTTGCCTCTGATAAAAATGAAATAATTGAGTTAACTGAAAATAAAGGAGAAACACTTATATCAACTCAATCAAGAAACATTCTTCAGTACTTCTGACACTATTACATTGCTCAGGAACAGCTAACAATACCACTACCATTAATGTAATAGCAGGTACTGCACATTGGTTGGGACTGCTCATTAGCCGCAAACCAGCAAGAAATTTGTTTTCTAATTTACATAATAATAAAAAAGACCTTAAAAACCTCCCAGGTGCATGGTGTAGCATCCCAACTAATACAGTGCTTGCACATGAGTTCTTCTAACATCACCTTTCTTTTTCCTCTTCTCCTTCCCATTTTCCATTTATTTTATCTGTCCATTGAAATCTCTCTCCTCTCAGGGGGCATACTAGACAGAGGCTATGCTTTCATTATTTTGCAGGGAGAAATAGGCCCTAATAGCCTATTTGGAAATCTTACAGCTTTGTAATAGTAGAATAGCAATATGAGGAAAAACAGCATAAAATAATCCAGGCATTGGCCTAATAGCTTGATGTTGGAACAAAGTAAACGAGACCTAAAATACTGGTGAAGGACTTGCCTTTAACCACAGTTCACCAATTATCAATCAAACTAAACTGCAGAGGTAAAAAAAGTCATTTGAGTTGCGTATTCCCTGTACTTTCTCTCCTTTCAGTTCTCACAGTAAACGCAGTGCCTTACTAAATCAGTATCTACTCTGATGCTTATAAAAATGGAGAGCACCAGATACATAGGAGGAAATAATAATTAGGAGGGAAAAAAAAACAGCAAGCAGTACTCCAGGAAAAACACATTTTAAAAATTAGCAACTACAGAGCTGAAACACCGGGGCGCAGGGGATGGGAGAAGGAGACACAGGAACAAAGAGTTTATTTCTTTTTGCGGTCGGAAAGCATATGAGCAGCCGCTGGGAACGAAGAAGCAGCTGACAGAACAGAAGGGTGTTATGGTTCTGGTTTCTTACCTGTATCTAGCCACACATATTTATGGAAAAATGCAATGAAAAAAAGCTTTTGAATAATTAAATTTCATGTTTTGTAGAGCAGTACTGAACTTGCCTTCAAAGTTTTATGTATTATTTAGTTTAATTAAATAAATAAGAAAAAGTTTGGAGGAAGCTGTGAGAAGATTTTTTTCCCTTTTAAATATCAAATATCAAGTCTAACATTCCCTAGTCATGCAGGCTGAATTGCTTGGAGATTCAAAAATAAATACATTGCAAACTCCAGAACTTCAATGGGTTATGAATATAAACATCTGAAGAGACTCTTTAAGATTCATTAAGCACTAGAATTAAAAACAAGCTGCCAAAGCGCATAGAGATTAGAGAGGTTAGATTTGGATATGGGCCTTTTCCTGTAAAGATCCATCATCTCGTGCAGAATTGCAGTAAAATGAGTGAGGCTCTGTGGGGATGACTAGGTTGTAAGCAAAAAGAGAAAATGCTATATGAACTCATTGCAAGATGCAGAGTGGCAGTATCTCTCTTCTCCCCTGCTTAACTGCTAGTACGTTAAAATAGCAAAAGCTTCCTTACTTGCCACCATCTCCTAGCTAGAAATTTCTTGTGCAAGTATAATCCTCCAATTTATAGCCCTTCTAACCTGCACCTGTAGACAAGGCCCTTACTTCTAGAGTAACTGCAACGCAACTTTGATTTTCCAAAATATGCTAGTCTTAAATTTTATGGCAATTCAGAATATAGGATCTGAAGCAAAAAAAAGTTCTTCTCCCTTAATTCTGCCATTAGCCGAAAGTGTTGCATAAATAAATCTAAATGACATAAAGTATGAGTACTGCCACAAGCAGTCTCCAAATAATGCAAAAACCTTTCTGCCTTTGAATATATACACGTGTAACGCTGAAGATAACCAACAAGAAATACAAGGCAAATTTTAATATATTGACTGCTCATTTTTGGCAGCATTCATTAAAGTAACAAGAAACTCTAAGAAGGCAAGAATGATCAAGGGCTTCAGTCCCAAATGTCAGAGTACACCAAAGACGTACTCCAAACTTACTCATGTAAACCTGTGATCCATGCAACCTTCTGAAGTCAGCATTACACAGCAAGCTTAAAATGATCTATGCAACTTGCATAGAATTTTCCTGCTTAAACTCCCTTGTCCACACTAAGTGCACAGGGATGTAACAGTTCTAGCGATAGTTATTTATTTATGGGATTCCGTACTGGTGTTCAACTTGGAATTAGCTAGACAGACTCTTTACTATGCAGCATGAGTGAACAGTCTTCATCATTACATCCAGTTCTCTTCAGGACTTTCAAATCTAACACTAAAACCAGCTGAACACAACAAACAGGCTGCCAGGAAAAGATCGAGTTCAGATGTCTCTTTACCACAAAGCCACCCTAACTACAACCAGAGTTTTGAAGCCTACCAAGATCTTCCAAGATCACAAACACCTTTCTTTCAGCTCTTTACTTTCATTACCTCTCCTTGGACATGCATAAAAAACAAGGCGAGCAGAAAATAAAGTAATTTGTAATTAATATAGCCAAGCTGATATGACTACAGGCTCAGAGTACCATTAATCACTTTTACTGATATTCAACATTTTCTCCTCGCCCATCAGTATATGTCAAAGTATTTTCCAGGGCAAGCATGGACCTTCATACAGTGAACAAAACCCCACTGACAGCAGGCTTGTTTTCAATGATTTCTCATGATGGACCCCTTTTAAGTTGTCTATGGTTAAAAATCATTGCTTCAGTATAATATCCATTTCCCCTTTACATCTTTTCTTTGCATCTCCTGACACCAAACCAGGAGTTGCTCCTGAATTCACATTGGTCACATCAACTTTTGAAAGTCACGTTCACACTGTGCTCCCAGCAATGGCCATCATCCAACCCAAGGACAACTGCAATCAGAGACAGTTTTCCAATATAGTATCAGCTACACCCCACGGGCTGACAAAGACTCAAAAGGATATCTGATACGAGGTCAGCAAGGAACAGAATTCCAAGGTTTATCCTCAGAATTCAATCACATCTACAAGAAATTTAGACAGAAAGTAAATTGGGCTTATGAGGAAAACAGAAATTGTCTGAGTTAATATAAGTAGGGAACAAAAAAATAGACTGGTTTGTGTAGGAAGTTAAGAATACACCTAATTAAATGAAAAATTTGTTTCAAGATTACCAGGAACACTCACATGCTTTTCCCATACCACAACTCCACTACCTGTGTATGATGTCAGCAAATTGAGAACAGCTCTTTCCCCAAGCAAAATAATACGAGAAAGCATTTATCTTTGATACTAGAATTATTACTTCCTCATAATAAGCTGTTCCATCTAGCTTGTGTACTCTGTAGTCTATTTGATTATAGTTTGCAAGACAAATACTTCTGAATAATTTTCTTTGGAAGTTAAACATCAACTAGATATTAAACATCAACCAGCATTATTTATTTTGATTCCTACAAGAATTCTTACAAAAATAGCTTTCCCCACTTTTCATATTCATCTGTGCTGTTTCCTACAGGCTTCTCTAGACAGTGTTGACAAGAATGGAAACAAAATGGAACACCAACAGCACTAAAGCTAGGATGTATACGAGACAAAAACATATTAAACTCCACACATAATGTTACTAAAGACATTTCAGAAGAACAGGTGGCTTGATCCAGGTGGCTGGGGCTACACTCCCAAATCTTCAACCAGCAGCTGGAGCTCCAAGTGATTCAAGCTAATTAGCAAGATTTATTAGATGGTATTATCAAACATTAAAATGAAAATTACCCCTTTGAATTTAAAGGTAACTAAACATTTAGATACCCTACCCAGGAAAACCCACAGTAGGATTCATTTTTGTCATAACTAGAGCCCACTTATCTGACGTATAAATCCGAAGGGAGAAAAGACAGAAACATAGTTAGATAATCTCCCTGTTCACACTGACAAGTTAGTAGCAAGTGTAATTATGATAATAAACAAAATGAAGCACATGATGAAAATCAGCATACATGGCACATATTAGACTTCTAAGAGGTGCTCAATGACTGAAGTGACACGTACTTTTCCTAGCAACCTGTCAGCAACAATGATCTCCAAATTTATTCAGCCGATTCTCAGGATCAATATGCCAGCCCAAAATAATGTCAGTGGTCTTCCGTCACTGGTCCCAGAAGTGCCATTTGTCTTCTGATAAATAGTATCTTCTGCACAATGTAAGCATTTTCAGAGCTTTTGCAGCATCTGTGCAACATTTCCTGGCACTTCATTAGCAAGCATCTAAAGAGTCAACTGAGACACAAAAACATATTTTGTCCTAACACACACACTGGACTAAAGTAACTCACTGACTCATGACTAACTTTCCTAAAATGTATTTGCTATGGATAATTAAACACAGTTCAAAGAAATCTTACCATCATGAATCTCAAATGCCAAACTAGTGATCTTCTGTGTAATTATCATCATTGGACTGTTTTAAGAAAAGAAAGAATAAATTAGAAAAAAGTTCAGCTTTTCTTTCACAGGTAAACATCAGGGAAAGCGTATGTTAATAGTCCAGGTTAGTTACTCTCAACTGGAAGATTTTCAACGCAAGGATAAAGTGATTAGTCTCTGGAGCTCCAACCATTTCAGATTTTTCAATGCAATGAAAATAATTTAATCCTTAGATGCAGTATTTGATAACCTCTGCCTTTTATCGCAGTGTTAGGTTCCACAAACATAGTCAGTGTTTCAGATCTATTTTCCACTAACAGTTTAATTTTTTTTTACAGTGGGAAGAGTAAAGAAAAAAGGGCAATCAGAGCAATTAAGTACATTGTAAATTACTGCAGCACTAAGGAAAGGACAATAAAAATATACCAATGTTGAAAAATATTATACATTATTTAGATATTCAGACCACTTCCACTGTTTCTACTAACACTCAGTCCTATGCTTAATTTTTCCATCTAGAATTATTATTTGCTTCAAGTAAACACATCTGGCAAAACAAAACCCCAGTACAATTTATGTTGGAGCCCACATAAGAGAGTTCAGTTTGTTCTGAGTTTGGTACACTTGAGCAGATCTTAAACTGTCCAAGATACATTCTTCCCTACCTAAACAAGTCAGCTTTATATTGAGAAATTATACAATCTTCACAGTACTTAAGAGCTCTTGACTGATGCAAATCCCAGCACTGAGAACCCCTTAACTGGGGGCAAAGAGAGGATGGGGGAGAGCATGAAGTAAATTATTAGAATTTAAAAATTTAACTTTGGAATCAGATCTCAAAAATGCATCAGGGACTCTGTATTTACCTCATAGCTTCTGAACTGGAGACCAAACAAAACAATGATACTGTAGGATAGGCATATAGTTTTGTTCAAGTCTTTTGACTGCAGTTGGCCTTTTTTAGAACATATTAAAGTTGGCACAGAAAAACAAATCCAACAGCCATCAAGTTCTCCTTCACTGACAGGGAAATGCCAGTGTTCTGCCAGATGGCTCAGTCTGACAAATTCAGTTTTTTTAATGTTATGGCTATTTCAAAACACACAATACTTTCAGTCCTCCAAATGCAATCAAGGAAAAAGGGTTTTCCCTACTGTATTATCAGTGCCCCAAAATCCTGACACTAAGACTACAATGACAGGCAAGGGTCAGCAAGGAAAGAAACACTAAACAAAACCAGACAGTCTGGAAATCCCTCATATCTCTTTCTACCATTTAAGCTGCAGACTTGCCTGGTGCTGGCAGAAATCATCAACTGATTCTGAACATAATGGGTGGTCCTTCTGTAAGTGGACATGTGACAGCATGGATCCTGCCTGGTGGAAGGATGGAGCCCAGGAGGAGTTCTGTCAGACCTCGTATTAATTCTAGCGGCACTGATGCATCTGTCATTGTTATCATAGCAGACCCCAGTGTTCTTTCGCTTCTCAAGTGGCTATTCCAGTATCATCAAGGATTTGGCTGAGGAGCAACAATCTAGACACTAAAAGAGGAAGAGTCCTTCTGGGAACAGGAAGGCTGGGAACCAGAATTTTAATGATCCGTTTTAGGTGCTGGCAGAAAGGCAAGAAGGCACTGGAAGCCTTACTGGCAGCTGGGATCTGTTAGTACTGCAGCCAGGACCACTCAACCCTGCACAAGCAATTGCACCTCCAGCACGAGGTCTTCTCCACTGTTTCCATTGTCAGTGCACTGATACCTTCCTTTAAACATTTTGCAGATTCTCTGGGACACCTCAGGTGGGTATGGCATGCTAGGAGAAATATCTACATAAACAGATATTCAAAGCTCTTCTGGGACCAACTACTAGACAAATCCATGCCAACATCTTTGCAAGAACTTGCTGGTGCTGGGGTTCAGCCGCTGGTTAGGCAACTTTTATAATTTACTTGAGCTAATTTCTCTTCCCCTAGAACTAGAGAAAACTGGCAGAAAATAGCCCTTTCAGTTCATCTTCTTTCTCCCCCTGTTTTGGAAGTAATCTCTGTCTCAGGCCTCAAGGGAGCAGTCCAGTATATGCCAGATGCATACATCAAGGTCCCAAACTAGTGCATGAAAAGATGGTTTAAATTAGGCAGCTCAAACATACAATCAGAGAGATGGATCTAGGCTTCAGAACAGTTCTATCCAGAGCACAGATCTCTTAAATATTTGAATGTGTTCAGACCTAGTAGAAATCTGAGCCAACACCAAACCAAGAGTCACATTTGAGCAATGATGTGCTCAAGCTCTACTGATAGTTTTGGGAGCAGCAACAAACAAGTGCAATTATACTGTTTCTGGAGTAAGCTCAGAGCTTTGATCCCTGCCAAGGTTACACATTTTGGCCCTATAGTGAACTGGAAGGGGCAGCATTTGGCTTACAGTTTCATTTGTAATGGTGAAGGTTTAATATAACCCTAATCAGTGAACCTAACTTTAAAGTGCTTTTATGCATATATCTATGCTGCAAACTCTCATTATAGCCAGTGGAGATGTAGCAATAGTCAGAGGCATTTGGCAAGTGACCCAGTTCACACTAAGGTTGAGCTTAGTGGTAGGGCAGCTGAAATGCCCTTCAGGCTCTACTGTCTACATCAGTCAGATGTCCACTGACTACAATTGGAACTTGGATATGTGGCTTGAAGGTAGACACTTGGATGTAGGAGTAAACATAGAAAGATGTTTCAGAAGGAAAGGTCCAGCTAAACATGACAGAAAAGACAAACTTAACCATAAAGCTTTTGGATTCAGCCTACAAGTTAAGTTTCTGGACTACATACTTGTTATCAATGAAGGCTGAAAAGCAACAAGGCTACCAAGGCTACCAAGCACAGCTCCACTACACAATACAGGTAATACTAAACTACAAAGACCACTGACATTCATAGTATTCCTGAAAGTATTTACTGCACTGTTTTAAGCAGACTAGCAAACACTCTCCCCCAAAAATCCATTCTCTCCTTTAAATCACCAAAAGCACAATCACAGTGGCAAACATTTATAGGAAATGTTGTGCTTCGGTTCCTTGTGACTGAAGTAAGAAAGAATCACCAGTTGTGTTGTTTTACTTTCCCTACTTAATTCTGTTTTGCTCCTAATTACTGCTCAAGTCAAATACAGGTTTAAGCTCATGATATAAAATCAGAGCACATATCGACAAAGCTTTCTGTTTCCAAGGGCTGTGTGACTGTTCCACCACACAGGTGCCTCTTTCCTTAGCTTTCCCCTTCTGGAACATGTAACAAAACCAAAAAAGAAAGAAGCTAAACAGCTAAATTCAATAAAACATTCCAATTTTCCTCACAAAGTGGTATCAGACTGTGCCAGGCACACGAGTACATCAGATACAATTCAAGATTCATCATGTTGTCACAGGTGGTAACAGAGTTTTAGGAGAAAAAAGTAAAAGCAAAAAAATCATGCACCAAATCCTTTACGGCCTTCAGACAGGAACAGCAGGCAACAGACAAGGCACCAATGGTTCTGACAAGACACAACTGCTCCCCATAGTCTCAATTTGCATGATTAAAGCATAGCTACTTATATATTTTTATGTGTACAAAGACATAAGCACACACCCAGCTTTCTCACAAAGGTTAAAAGGTTGACACGCTTAACTTGGAAAAAACCCAGGTACACCAGCAATCAGGAGGACAAGATGGAAAGATTATTTTTGTCCTTACCCAGAAAAATCAGCGGAGTACTGTCCGTAATCAAAGATATAGACTCTAGTAATTTGGCACACAGTGAGGTATCCCAAAGCAAAAACAAAGCAATACCTGGAAATGGAAAAATAAGCTTTTCAGTTAAAAACCATTAACATTTCGCCATTGAACAAACTACCATTTCAGTTTACATCATTGGAGTGTGTAATTACACCTTCATTCTGGTTGGGCTTTTTTGGCAGTATTTATTCTATGCAAGCACAACAACTTATTTTTAATAATACTGTGTACAGTACTCACAAATTCTATTGTCATTAGCCAAAATATTTACTTCCATAATAAACCAGGGTATTTACAATTTCAAGTACCACTGTAAAAACTGGAAGTCCTATAAAGAGAAAATTAATCTGTAAAGTTGGGGGTTTTTTAGTTCAAAGTTAATTTTTCTCTGAGCATAAAAATGTGGCAAATTACACATCAAACAATTTCAATTAAATGTATTTCTATACATTCAAAATTCAGCACCACGAATCCCACTGCTGCTCTTTCCAAAGGAACTGGAAAAGGTAATTTTCAAGTACAACTATTAAAAGACATCCAAGTGAAAAAGGAAGAGGATGCCTTCATGCCTCTTGTGGAAGCTGATCCTCAGCAAATTAAGAACCACCTTACACAAGTATTGTAAATTTAATTTCACATGTAATTTTTTCAGGTCAGGGTTGGGATTCCCCGGCCTTTTTAACATGTACATCTGCACACTAGTGAGAACTGATTTGCCAGTACACCTCACAAAACCTGCCAGACATTCTCCACAGTTAAAAAGAATGGAGAATGCCAGCGGCAACTTAACTAATCCCGTAGGACTTTATGTATGAACTTCACAGTCTTGAAGATTTCCAGATAACTTGGGAAACATTCATGGTAATGTAATCAACCGCTTGTGTCATGTTCACAAGACTAATGTGCAACCCCTACAGCAGACCATACTAGACATTCAGAATTCATACACCAAATGGAAAATCATGACTAGGACTTGTGTGAAACAGTGAGGGACACTACAGGAAGACCTTGGAACATGCTTTTCCTTCCTTTCCTAATAAGTATTTTTGCCAAAAAAAGTCTCAATGTAAATAATTCTAAGTCTTGGAAGTTACTCTTTAATCTGAAAGTTGCTGTACAGAACACTTGCAGTTTAACCTTTAATTAGGAGTTGTGCTAAATATAAATCATGTCACATGTTAAAACATCCAACCTCCAAATTACAGATTACCTTATATATCAGTAGCTTCATTAAACCACACATTCTTTTTTGGGGAAAAAAGCCCCAAAATAAAACAAATCAAACATGTTTAGGGTGCCTGTTTTAGCAACAGATTCTTTTCTGTTTTCATAAATATTAATAATCCACAAACAGTATTATATTGGGTGGCTAATTGGTACGAAAGTATAATCAGAATCCAACAAAATTACAAAATAATTGGCTTATATATTAAATTATTTCAGCAAGAGAAATAATTTAACACAATGAAATGGGTACGTAGAGGACTGCAGGTATCAGGAACGTGGTACAACGTAGAACTCTAAAATTTTGGGAATTAAAATTTTTCTCAGCTATTTTAAGAAAACCTTCCCACCCCACCACCCCCCAAATCCCAACAAACAAAACCCAGGTTTCACACGGATGAGGAGTATGTGGGTTCTATTTGCCCACACTGCAATCAGTCCCAGTTCTTCCATTCACTAAAAATTCAGTATGATTTTCAGCTTTACCAACCTCTTGATTTACATGCTCAACAACCCCAGATTAAAAGTAACTCATTATGTGCAGATAACTACGTGCTCAGCCACAGATACCATACTAAGCAGCCAAGAAAAAAACACACTGTAGTTCTCTTGAAGAGCATCTCATTTTACCCCCACTGACAAGATCATGTATTCATTAACAGTAGTCTATTCACAGTATATTATATAAAATATTATATATCACAGTATCACAGTATCACAGTATGTTAGAGATTGGAAGGGACCTCGAAAGATCATCTAGTCCAATCCCCCTGCCGGAGCAGGAACACCTAGATAATGTTACACAGGAATGCGTCCAGGCGGGTTTTGAATGTCTCCAGGGAAGGAGACTCCACAACCTCCCTGGGCAGCCTGTTCCAGTGTTCTGTCACCCTCACTGAGAAGAAGTTTCTTCTCAAGTTTAAGTGGAACCTCTTGTGTTCCAGTTTGTACCCATTACCCCTTGTCCTATCATTGTTTGCCACTGAGTAGAGCCTGGCTCCGTCCTCGTGACACTCCCCCTTTATATATTTATAGACACTGATAAGGTCACCCCTCAGTCTCCTCTTCTCCAAACTATAGAGACCCAGCTCCCTCAGTCTTTCCTCATAAGGGAGATGCTCCACTCCCCTAATCATCTTCGTTGCCCTGCGCTGGACTCTCTCCAGCAGCTCCCTGTCCTTCTTGAACTGAGGGGCCCAGAACTGGACACAATACTCCAGATGCGGTCTCACCAGGGCAGAGTAGAGGGGAAGGAGGACCTCTCTCGACCTACTAACCACCGCCCTTCTAATACACCCCAGGGTGCCATTGGCCTTCTTAGCCACAAGGGCACAGTGTTGGCTCATGGTCATCCTGTCGTCCACTAGGACCCCCAGGTCCCTCTCCCCTACACTGCTCTCTAACAGGTCATTCCCCAACCTATACTGGAACCTGGGGTTGTTCCTGCCCAGATGCAGGACTCTACACTTTCCCTTGTTATATTTCATCAAGTTACTCCCTGCCCAGCTCTCCAGCCTATCCAGGTCTCGCTGGATGGCAGCACAGCCTTCTGGCGTGTCAGCCACTCCTCCCAGCTTAGTGTCATCAGCAAACTTGCTGATAGTACACTCAATTCCCTCATCTAAATCATTGATGAATATATTAAATAATACCGGTCCCAGTACTGACCCTTGAGGCACTCCACTAGTTACAGGCCTCCAACTAGACTCAGCCCCATAGACTACAACTCTCTGGCTTCTCTCCTTCAGCCAGTTCGCAGTCCACCTCACTATATTTATATATATTATATATTTATATATATTATATATAATATGTATATATATTTATATATATCTATAATAGTATATATAGCGTATATATATACTACATATATATATAAAATAGTCTAAAATAAACAGAATTGCAAAAGAATCTAAATACAGCTTTCATAAAGTGCTATCCATAGCAGGAATACCTACTTTGTTAGGATAAGAAACACCCTGTGTTATTAGGTCCAGACCCTCAGATGGAAGAAAACAGACAGCAGTTTCTACCTCATATAGTTTATGTTTTAAAACATTTATGCTGTAGTTAAACAAGATATCACAAAGACTTCCTTTTGCAAGCAGGAAGGATATGCTGGTAAGTACAACTGAAACAAAACTAATGAATACCCCATTCATTAGTAAAGCACTGAGAAGTCAGAAAACCTTAGGTTCTTTTCTATATAGTTACTATGATACAATCCTATTGAACGTGCAACTCCAAATTCCTATTTTGCTGAAGAAACACATCATTATTCCAGATATCTTTTAAAAGCTTGGCATTCAAGTTTAAGATACATCCGGTCATTTTACTTATTGCATACCTTCCACGTGCTGCACTCGAGAAGCATGTGCATTTCCCCAGTTATTCTCCATGCATCCAAGTGTTTCATAAAACTTACATTCCTCTTTAAAATGAATTTTGTGACACTCAATGTTACCCCAGCTCTACATATATGAGGAAATTGAGAAACAGAGAGATTACATGGGTCTCAATACCAAGCTGGGGAGATGGAAGGTCAATTACTAGGCAAACTTATCTGTTATAAAGCTGACAGAACGGACATAACCAGTACATTTCAGTCACACATACACAAATCTATTCTCAGGCGTTCCATGAAAGGTGAAGGACTGATTATATTTGTAGCTAATAGTAGTAGTTTAAATCACATTGTAGTGCCCTGCATTTAGGAATAGACTGAGGCAGCAATTCTACCCAATTACAGAACAGTGAAATGTACAGGGCAGTTAAAGGTTACTTCTTCATCTGCAGGTTCCTGTGGCTTAAATGCCTTCCAGCTTCTACAGCACGTTAACTTTCTGCAATGAAATGACTGGCTTGGAACATGAGGGAAGAGCAGTGGATATTGTCTACTGACTTCAGAAAAACTTTTGATGCTTGATATTCGCATGGACAAGCTGATGATGTACAGGGCTGGACGGGCAAACAGTCAAGTGGATTGAAAACAGGCTGAACGGCTGGGTCTAGAATGTGGTGACCAGTGGCACAAACTTGAATTGGAGGTCAGTAACCACCTGTGTAGCCCAGAGGTCAATACCGGGTCTGATCCTCTAACATCTTCATTTATGATTTGGATGATGGGGCAGAGTGCAGTCTCAGCAAGTTTGATAGTGACACTGCAGTGTGAAGAGTGGCAAATACACTAGAAGACCTTGCAATCATCCAAAAGAACCTTGGCAGATTGGAGAAATGAACTGACAAGAACCTCATGACAGTCAACAAGGGGAAGTGCAAAGTCCTGCACCTGGGGAAGAACAACACTAGGCACCGATGTATGCTGGTAGCCACCCAGCTGGAAAGCAGCTTGGCAGAAAAGGACCTGTGGGTCCTTGTGGTCACCAAGTTGAACATGAGGCAGCAACACATCCTTGCAGTCAAGAAGGCAAGAGGGAGGGACAGAGCTTTCCCAAAATCTTTCAAAAAAAAAAAAAAAAACACCAAAAAAAAACCAAACCACCACCAAACCACAACATCATTTGCTATGACACTTGAGCAAGAGCCCAGCTGGCACCTTGCCTCAAGGAAGCCAGAAACATCTGTCAGATCTAGCATCTGCTATCCTTCACAATACCCTCTTCCAAATCAAAACCTATGAAAAGCCCAGGTAGTAAAAACAGTGAGAAAATTGACACATCCTTTCTTGCCTTCATGATTATACAGCATTTCTCTGGTTTTGGAGTATGCTGACCAAAATGTCAGCCACATGGGTACTTCCAGATTTCCTGGAAATAAACGTTAGCCATCATGACTGACATGGGGCAATTTTTCACAATTCAGTTAATATC